CACGATATTAGGAAGGAATGCTTTGTTTAAAAAGGAGGAAATATCTTGATAAATGGAAGTGATTCTATTTTGTATATTAACAAGAAAAAAGTAGAACAGCACAACTTATAGTTAGACCAGTAGTAGTAATTGATAGCAAGAGATGAACAAGATATGGTAATACTTCAGAGAAAGAGCAGTATATATTTTACAGCTAGAAAATTAGACACAAGTTTTTATATATAGTACCCTCTAATTCTCCTTTTATAGGAGAATTTCAGGAAAATTGGAAATATCAATTGAAATTGGAACATTTCACCCAAAGACGGGCACAATAAAGGACAGAAGCAGTAGAGACCTAGTGGAAATAGAAGAAATCAAGAAGAGTTGGAAGGAATACATGGAACAAGAGTACAGAAAAGATCTTGAACCGGATAACCGCATGTTGTGATCACTCACACAGAGCCAGACCTTCTGTAGGGTGAGGTCAAGTAAGCCTTAGGAAGCCTTGCTGTGAGTAAAGCTAGTAGACGAGATGGAACTCCAGCAGAGCTATTTAAAACCCTAAAAGATGATGCATCAGAATGCTACACTCAATATGTCAGCAAATTTGGAAAACACAGGAGTGGCCACAGGACTGGAAAAGGTCAACCTCTTTCCAATTCTGAAGAAGGGCAGTATGAAAGAATATTCAAACCATGGGACAGTTGCACTCATGTTCCATGCTAGTAAGTGAAGTGAAGTCAGTCAATCATGTCCAACTTTTTGCAACCCCATGGACTGTAGCCTACCACACTCCTCTGGCCATGGGATTTTCCAGGCAAGAATACTGGAGTGGGTTGCTATTAGTAAGGTCATGCTCAAAATCTTGCATGCTAGGCTTCAGCATTACAGGAACCAAGAACTTTCAGATATCCAAGCTGGGTTTACAAAAGGCAGAGGAACCATAGATCAAATTGTCAACATTTGCTGGATAATGAAGAAAGCAAGGAAATTCCAGAAAAAATATCTCCCTCTGTTTCATCAACTACGCCAAAGTCTTTGACTGTATGGATCACAACAAACTGTAGAAAACTCTTAAAGAGATGGGAATACAAAACCATCTTGCTTGTCTCCTGAGAAACCTCTATGCAGATCAAGAAGCAACATTTAGAATCCCATATGGAACAATTGACTTGTTCAGGACTGAGAAAGGAGTACAACAAGGCTGTTAATTGTCACCCTGTTTATTTAACCTATTTGCTGAGCACATCATGAGGAATGCCAGGCTGGATGAGTTACAAGCTGGTATCAAGATAGGTGGGACAAACATCAACAACCTCAGATAAGTGGATGATACCACTCTAAGGTATGAAACTGAAGAGGAACTAAAGCATCTTTTGAAAAAGCCAGCTTCAGTTCAGTTCAGTTCAGTCGCACAGTCGTGTCCAACTCTTTGCCACCCCATGAATCGCAGCATGCCAGGCCTCCCTGTCCATCACAAACTCGTGGAGATTACTCAAACTCATGCCCATCAAGTNTGTCAGAGGATGAGATGTCTGGATGGCATCACCTATGCAATGGACATGAACTTGGGCAAATTTTGTGAGATGGTGAGGGACAGAGAGGTCTGGTGTGCTGCAGTTCATGGGGTAGCAGAAAGTCTGACACGACTGGACAACTGAAAAACAAGGGAATATATTACACAGATAATAATTATCAACATTGCATTTGGCCCATGTTTGGTAAAAGGAATGGACACAACTTCAGCAGACAAATAAGAATCAGTTACTGCAGTACTACGAGCTATTTTCCTGGTCGTTCTTGTATCTTGTTTTCTTCTGATCAATGACAGAAACAGAGTTATAGGTAGTAACATGGAATTGTTGTTCATTACATAATTAGCAATTGATACAACTGACTATTGTAAGTGACTTCTTTTCAAGGATAAATTTGCATTAAAATATTTCAATTGTCAAGGAAATGACTGTGGTTATGCTTTCAGAATGCAAATGAAAATAGTCATTACTTCTCCTACTTACATCATAGCAGAGGATGAATGTACCCTAGAACCCCAGTAGAGTCCAGAACCATACTGTTTTTTTTTTCTACATTGTAAAATAGAAGGTTAGGTAATCTCTAACTTTCATTCCAAGTAAAGGATGATGTACTATCCTGGGTAAGATCCTGGAGCAAAGATATTAAGGAAGAAAAAAAAAAAACAAAACTAAGGAGATATAAAATGAGGAATAGCTTAATTATAAGCTATTGATATTGGTTTATTTATTTTAACAAATTTATCATATTGAGATGTTAATAATGGGAGAAACTAGGTATACTGTATATGGAAACTCTTTGTATACTGTATATACAATCATTTTGTAAATGTCTCTCTACTGAGTTAAGTTTACTGAAAATTAGTTATTTCACAGAATATTTAAAATGTTTTTAAGCAAAGTAATGAGCTTATCCATTACCCCTCGAGTTTTTGTTGTGTTCATTTTTGATTCCCTGAAACCCCTCCTCCATTTTCAGGTAATTGGTAATATGCTTTCTGCTTAAGTGGAATAAACTTTGAATTTTCTAGAATTTTATTTAAAAAAATTCCTTCAGATGCACTGTTTTTGGTCTTTTTTCAACCAACATAATTAATTTGGACTTCTTTTATCCAGCATAATTACTGTGGTATCCAGTCATTTAGCTATGCATTTCAGTGGTTCAATCCATCCCTTAGTGCTTCTAGATAATATTATCTGCATGAAAGTTTCAATACCCCAATTATTCTCTCCATGGATCTATTAATGCATCTCTGAAGTTTTGGGGTATTATATACAAAGCTACTAGAAACATCACTGTATATGTTTTTATGTGCATTTATAATTTCATTTCCCATTGGTAAAATATTTAGAACTAGCATGGCTACATTGCATGGTAGTTGCAATTTTAAATTTTTAAAGAAAGTTCCAAGCAAAAAATTTGTAGTAATATTTTGCATTCCAACTAACAGTGTATGAGATTTCCAGTCACTCTATAACCTCTCCAGTACTTAGATTGGCAGTCTTTTTTTTTTCATTTTAGCAATATAATAGATGTACAATGCTATCTCATTTTTGTGTTAATTTACATTTTGCAAATGACTAATGCTGTTGGGCATCTTATATGTTATTTGACCTCCATGCATCTTCCTGAGCCAAATATTTGTTCAGATGTTTTGCCTATTTTTCAATTGGGTTGTTTTCTTATTATTCAGTTTTGAATGCTTTTATAATCTAGAAACATAAATCCATTATCACATGTGCCTCTGCATAATTAATGAGTAAGAGTCTTTATGGTGACTATTTTCAGAAGACAAATATCTCTAAATTTTTGGCCTCCGATAAGGTCTATCTATTCATTTGTACACTCATTTCTTTGTCACAGTTCCTCCCAAATTCTTTACCTCCTGGCCATTTGTCAGCAATAGTCCATGAATCAATGTACATTTTTCTTTGGACCGTGTTTCCTGAATGAAACATATATCATGAGAATTTCATCCAATAAGAGGATTTTCTCTATCATTCTTCAGGGCTACTCCTTCTGGCTTGTGCCACAATATTGTGCAGAACCCTCTGAAAATTATCTTCAGAATTATTAATATACAGAAAATGTAATATTAAGAATATAACAAAAGACAAGTGGTTTAGGTGCATAGTGACAATACAGCTGAAATCAACATACAGGAAGTGTAAAACAACTTCTTGTGTTAATTGTTTGTGCATTAGAGATTTCCTAGCTAATCTAACATATGCCACTCTGACTGAACAACACAGTATTATTGGACTCTCCCGAATTTATAAATAACTAGAAGTCCAAGGAAATGGCAACCCACGCCAGTATTCTTGCCTGGAGAATCCCAGGAATGGAGGAGCCTGGTGGGCTGCCGTCTATGGGGTTGCACAGAGTCAGACACGACTGAAGGGACTCAGCAGTAGCAGCAGCAGAAGGCCAAAGGTCAAGTGGTTCTCCACTGTACCAATAGCAACCCAAGAGGTGGTTTCCAAAAGGTAGCTAATTATTTTGTAAAGAAGGTGGGGTTGTTGTAAACCTCCAATTATTGATATAATCCTCTTAACTCAGCTTGCCACTCTTCCACATGTTTTAGACATGACTTTTAGAGTCTGGTGAAATATTTAAGTCTGTGTACTATGACATATAACACACCAGCTGGCCTAACTTCGCTACTTAGGTCTTCTTCACTGAATTGTAAAGTTCAGTAAGGCTAAAACAAAAATTGCCACTCTCACGTTCACAACTTTGATATGCAACAGCTATCTGTAATTCTCCTGAGGCTGCTTTTGTGGTAGAGAGAGAACATTCTAAAGGTTTCCCCCTTGCTTTCTTGCACATGGATTCTAATTCCTTCCTTAGATCATGGATAAATTGCAAGGATCGTGGCAGTTGCTAAGCATAGCTACTCAAAGAATATACACAGAAACTAAAGAAATAAGTACATTATGGATACTGTGTTGTATCTTACCTTGGGTAGAATTTATATTACAAATCCATTTATTATCTGCTGCCCATCAAGCTCTGTTCTGTTTGGTGAACTGTAGTGGTGCTCAAGATGCATAGGAAGTAATTGACAAAAATCTTCATAAGGTCTGACTATTTTTTTTCTTTCCCTGTTTTCAGACTTTCTCAGGAAAATTAGTAGATGATTCAGTGCTTATGATCTTAAGTTATGTTTGTAGTGCTTATGATCAATTTAGATGTCTTCCTCGAGGGTATCTGTCCTCTCATTTATTGAAAGGACTCTAAGTCTATGATCTGATGTCTGGAAGTTGGCAAAGAATTGTGACTCTATTGTAGTGTGTCAAAGTAAATTCAGCTTGCCAGACTTAGAGTTATTAAATTTATGCAAATTAAGCTAGCCTTTTGTGTAATATGCAAATATTTCATTCTTCGCATTCCATAAATAGTTTTGCTTCTAAAGGAGATATTTAAGAATCAAGCTATTTTGCCACTCTTGTTGCAGAAAACCCACCATTTTTCTTTATAGAATATTGATTACAATCATCTTTCTCTTTATTATAAATTCACAAGTGAAAATCCATGGTGGGTGTATTTGATTGATGGAGTCATCGCTCTACCTGTAAGGAGGGTAGAAAAGTAATGTTTTAATAAGAATAGAGAATAGCACTTGAGAACTGGTATTGAAATTCTTTACCTCCCATAAGCTCTGTGATTTGAGAGAGTCAGTTGTGTACTGTGCCTCACTTTCTTTATCCACAAACTAGGAGTAACAGCAACTACCTATGAGGGTCACAGATAAGATTCAATTATTTAATTAATATAAAATTCTCTTAACATATGTTCAGTATATAGGACTCAATTAATATTAACTACTTTCCAACAATATCATTACTATTATCATTATTTGACATGTTCAGTTTATTCATAGGATAAAATCCTCTGCTTTTTCCAATATTCATAAGGTCAGAAAGTTCCCACATTTAGAAGTACAATTGTGGTGTCCTGAGTCAAAAAGAATAAGAGTGCTATATAAATTAAGGATTCAATTCACAATCTGTCAATCAAAGATTTCTTTCATTCATTTCATCCTACCTATCTAAAACATTTTTTCCATTTTCCATGTTATAATTCACAGCCATCCAAGTCAAGATTTTTGTATCTGGAGCTGTTGACCATCACCTGGCACTCACTGTGCCAATATAATTAAAAGTTTTGGACACTGTCATTATATCATGTAAAACAAGCCTCATTAATTATGTTGCTTTATAATACCATCCTTGATTTTGTGAATATCACTACCCACATTGCAGTAGTGCTTTATAAAAGTAGTGTTAAAATCACTGAGGCAGACACTGATTGACTTATCTACGTCATAGCTCATAGAATTATGTTTTTGTAGCCTAGGAATAGACAAGATAATAATGGGAGGAAATGAACCACAGCAAAACTAAGGAACTAACATCTTTTATAAATTAGTCTGCTAATTGTATATAAAGTATTTGTATAACAGTGTTTCAGAGTAGGCGTGACTTTGGAAAAGCAAGCTGATGAGAGTCTGGACTTATTATTGGCAGAAAAATGTGAACAATAGCTTTGATTTTACAAAGAAAAATAATCAGAAACACTTTGTGATGGGTTGCATTAAGTAGGATGCAGATTGATTAGGACTGTATCCAAGTGATTATTGATATAAATGGTTAAATAATAATAAACATATCAATTTTGGATTGTAGGTAATAGGTTCATTATAGGAGTCACTGAGTTTGAGTTAGCATGAGTATATTCACATGCTGCTATTGCACCTAGGTATGCAGTATCGGAAATTGTCAAAGATCCTGGATGAGGAGTTCAAAATAAATGTTTACAAGTCATCAATGTTGCAATGATTGTTAAGATCATGAAAGTGGTTGAAACTGTTAAAATTGGAAGCAAATAAAATAATTAAAATAATTTAGTAAAATGTCTTTAGAAACACCCTCATCTGGATGTGAGTTTAGTCAAAAGAGAAAATATGAGACTTAGAGCGGTGATAAAAGAATGGCCACAGGGTATAATACAGTCCAAGATGGAAGACAGTATGAAACTATCGTATTGTGTGATATAGAAAAGTCATGGAGGCCAAAGAAACATGAAACTGTCTCTCCTCAGGAAAAACTGTTACAAAATGCAGAAAGTCAGTATTTTGAAGTTGAGTGTAAATGTTTTCCAAAGCTAATGCCCGTATGATTAATAGTTTATAAAAAAAAAAAAAGTTGAGAGGAGAATGCAGTCGTGGAAATAGAATAACTACTCTGTACACAGAAGAAAACCTATAAAAGAACAAAATAAAGAAGTGAAGCAAGAAAATTTGTTCATTCAAATACCTTTAACATACAAATAACAATAGTCACCAAAATCAGAATAAAAATATTTTCCCAGAGACCCTTGGTCAAATTTCCTAGTTAGAATCCTGACACCCTTTAATATTCACCATCTAATTAGTATTATTTCTCCTCTTTCTAGGTAATGAAAGATTCAGTATTGGGTAACAAATTCTTTGGATTTACCCTCTACAAGTTCAGATTTCCAGTTTTGTTTGAACACAGGGGAAAATAATGAGTATTCTTTATTAGCATAAAACTTAAATAGAGACAATGAGGGCTAAAACCAAAAGCAATATGCAAATATAGTGTGTTTTTTTCCTTGACATAGAGATATAAGATTAGTTTCTGCTAATGTTGGTAGATGTCCTGAAATTTCTACTAAACTGCTATTTTGAATAATAAAAAATTAGACTTTGCCTAGAGTACATAAGTGAAGTGGAAGTCGTTCAGTCATGCCTGACTTTGTGCAACCCCATGGACTATACAGTCCATGGATCTCTCCAGGCCAGAACACTGGAGTGGGTATCCACACCCTTCTCCAGCAGATCTTCTCAACCCAGGGATCGAAGCCAGGTCTCCCACATCGTAGGAGGATTCTTCACCAGCTGAGCCACCGGGGAAGCTCTGAGTGCATAACTTGTGACCTTTGGCAAGAACTCACTGTTAATAGACTTCAATAATCGGAAAACATACTTTAAAGTATTTTGAGTATTATATGAAATCATAAATAAGTGGGCCAATAAATAATCAGATTTTACTATTGTGAATGAATGAATGCAGCATTTGAGGCTATGTGTATCCTCCAAATCAGAAACTTCTTTGGTGATCCAGCCAAGTGTTTCTTATAGAGACACCATTCCCAGGGGATAAAGACCGCATTATATTAAGGCAAAGAGAATGGATTTGAGTACACAGGACTTTCCCCAATAAAATTAGTTGACTAATCTTCAATGTAATGATTATGTCAAAACCAAAAATCATTTTTATGTTTACCTGTTACACAGGTGTGGAGACCAATGATTATATATTAAATATATTTGAAATTCAAAGATATCATGTATTGATTATTAATTGAGGGCTTCCCTGTGGCTCAGATGGTAAAGAATCTGACTGCAGTGTAGAAGACCTAGGTTAGATCTCTGGGTTGGAAAGATCTCCTAGAGAAGGAAATGGCACCCACTACAGTATTGCTGCCTAGAGTATCCCACAGACAGAGGAGCCTGGCAGGCTACAGCCCATGGGGCTGCAAAGAGTTGGACACGACTGAGTGACTAACACTGTTGATTATTAACACAAACCCACAAAGGCATTGAGGAAAAAAAAAATTTACTTTGCTTTTTTGAAATTATTAAAAACTAACTAGCTCAAAGCACTTTTATAAAAAAAAATTATCTCAGATCATTCAGAATATTATTCATTTTTTATTTTAAATTAGAAATACCACATGTACTCACACTTGAATGTAGCAACATAGCAAGTAACATTTGTTTGTAATTAAACGTGTGCTTTTTTAACGTTAGTAGGAATTTTACCCTCCCTTCAAACTTCTTCCTCCCATTCTTTAGCAGCAGGCAAGGTGTCTGCCTGTCTCTGTAATATGAATGGTTGAACATTTCTTGTAAAGAATGGAATACAGTATGCTGTAGGAATTGCATAAAAAATCCTCTGTGAATGGAAAAAAAAGGCTCTGGGACCTTGGATGTCACTTCCAGGAGAGACAAATTTATAAGTATAACAATCTGTCTTTTATAACTGACATCTAAGGTCCCAGAGGCCTTTTCCCTATCACTAAGGATATTTCATGCATTTCCTACAATATGAAAAACCTGTGAGTATAACATTTAGACATTTTTGCTGCACACAAAAGGAATTTTTTTTATTTTGTTGTAGATCCATACCCAAAATCAATTTTAGTATTAAAGTTTCATCTACAAAAGAAACGAGACTTCTACACCATTGCAATAAAGAAATGCTAAAAGAGTAAGCTTACTCACCAATTTACTATTTCACCAGGAACTAATAATAAAGAGGCCATCCACCCTTGTACTGTGGATGTGTAACAGTAACCAAGTGAGGTATATTCTCTTTGGAACTCAAAGAGGTGTGACTGTCACTCACAGAACAGTGGCAGAAACACAAATGACTGCTTTAGTGGCCTGAAGAGCTAAGTGAGCTTTTCAAAGTGACATTTGCCATGGAGTGTCTAAGGCATTAAGAAAAATAGTAGCTGTGGCTCAAGGAGGCTAAATGATACAATGCCACAATGCTACAGAAATTATCCTAAAACTGTTGGAAATCATGTAAATGTCTTGACCAATCAGTGGGGTCATGCAGACACAAAGGCTGACTCCACCTTCAGGGCAAAAATTTTTTTCAAATATTCATTTCTGCTTATGACCAAAATTGCACTACTTGGTCACAGTCAAGCAAGCAGTATAACAATATGGATTCCACTGATCCATGTGCATGGAAAAATCACTTCTCTTAAGCTTACTGTTGTTTCTCTAAGCAATGTTTTATAGTTTTCAGTACACAGGTCTTGTACATATTTAATTATATTTGTCAAAAAAATATTGCATATTTTGGGTGATATCATATACAGTATATTTACACTTAATCATGTTTTTATTGCTAGTAAATAGAAATTACAGGTTAGCAGCTGTACTGGTTGCTCATTTATGCATGCTTTTAATAACACAGAGCTATCCATTTTAAAAGGGTGAATTTTATGGTATGTAAATTATGTCAATAAAGTTGACTCAAGAAGAAATATACATTGTCCTTACTGTATAAGTGTTAGTCACTCATTTGTGTCCAACTCTTTGCAACCCCATGGACTGTAGCCCTCCAGGCTCCTCTGTCCATAAGATTCTCCAGGCAAGAATACTGGAGTGGGTTGCCATTCCCTTCTCCAGGGGATATTCCTGACCCAGGGATCACACCTGGGTTTCCTGCATTGTAGGCAGATTCTTTGCCATCTGAGCCACCAGGGGACCCTCTTACTGTATAAGATTTTGTAGACAGAAAAATGAGTTATTTCCTGTAACATGTTTATCACAGTCCTAAAAAAAACTGAGGCTTCCCTGATAGCTCAGTTGGATTTTTTTGGTAAAGAATCTGCCTGCATTGCAGGAGACCCCGGTTTGATTCCTGGGTCGGGAAGATCTGCTGGAGAAAGGATAGGGTACCCACTCGAGGATTCTTGGGCTTCCCTTGTGGCTCAGCTGGTAAAGAATCTGCCTAATGCTTGACAAAATTATTATAACTCATATATTATATAACTCATATTATATTATAATTATTATAACTCTTATCATTATTTTAATTCTGTATAGATACATATTTTCTTTACTATATACTAAGCATTCATTGACACATGTATACTTGAGAATTTATGTAGAATATTATCTACATATA